TTAAATACACATTGGTTGATTATCTCATATAGTTTTACAAATAGTAATTAAGAATAAGAACTTTAGAACTAGATATATTGAGGCTCAGATTCTGGCTCTGATACTTAGTAGACGAGAAGTCTCAGACAAGTTAAATTTTTTAAGCCTCAGTTTCATTATTAGTGAACCGAGGATAATTGTACCTAATTTGTTGGCTTGTTATAAGCATTAGATTTAAAGTATATATGCACATTGCTTTAAACACAGCAGGTATTCAATCAATTCATTAAAAGTTTAATTATATATTGAATGCCTGTATATGCTAGGCATTAAGCTACTTATTAGGGAGTAGCAAATGTAGTGCCTTTACTAGTGTGGTTTTTCACGCTTGTGGAGAGAAATAATCTCAAATAGAGTAATGAATGTATGATCTCAAACTGAGGTACGTGCTCTGAGGAAAATGAACATGGGCTCACAAGGGTATACAATAGAGGAAGCTGATTAGACTCAACAGTAGGGAAGGATTTCCTGATGAAATATGTGCTAAGACTTGAAGTAGAGAAGAGTTAGGAAAGAGAAAGCACTGGAGAGTATAGGAAAGGCAAAGAAAGATCTAGCTAGCCAAAAGGCACATGATGGGCCAAAGTCTTGTGGCAGAAGTGAGGATAGCAAGGTCAAAAAGTTAAGGTCAGTGGGGCACAAAGAGCACAGAGAACAGACATGGATACTTTGCTGGAGATATGGTGTGGGACTGGACTATGCAGGACCTTGTGGTTTGTATCAGTTTTGGTCTTTATCCTAAGAGCTTGGAGAAACTATTGCAAGTTTTTTTTTTTTAACAGGTGGGATATATATGCATTAAATTTGAAAGGTTGACTCTTGCCTACAGTGTTTGTAAATAGACAGCAGTTACTGGAAAGAGTACAGAATTGGGGTGTTGGAGAAGGAAAAATATTGATTAGAGTTCAGAGCAGAGTAGATGCAGGGAGACAGTTACTAGACTTTTTGCAGTTGGGAGATGATAGTATTTTGGATTAGGCTGGGAACTATGGGACTAGAGGAGACAGAACATCAGAAGCTTCTTAGATAGTTAAATGGACAAGGTTTGATAACCAGATTTAGTGGTGAGGATGAGAGAGGAATGAACTATGATTCTTAGGTATCTTCCAGTCTTCACAGTTGGATGGATGGTGGTACCATTCACTGAGATAAAGAGCCCTGGAGAAAGATCACGGGCTGGGCTGGACAAGAACCACTTGTGGGACCTCAGAAAGACCCAGGAGGGATGTCATATAGGTAACTAAATGTATGGGCTTAAGCATGTTTGATTTAGAGTTCCAAGGAGCAGTGTAAGCTGGAAATACCCATTTAGTCTATAAATGGTATTAAAGTTGTGATCCTATCTGCAATTTTCCAGGGAAGGTAGATTGAGTAAGGTGACACATGCATGTTTCTAAGGAGCCTCAGTATTTAATGGATGGGTAGAGTGTGTGTGTGTGTGTGTGTGTGTGTGTGTGTGTGTGTTGACAGGTAAGAGTCATGGAAGGCAAAGAAGGTGCTACCAAAGAAGTAGGAGGAAAAAGTGGAGAGCATTGTAACACAGAAGCTAAGGGAAGAGTATGTTTCAAAAGGATGGAACATGCAACAGAGTCAAAGTCTGCTGAGAGGTCAAGAAATCCTGGAGGATGTTGAAGATGCTCACAGAATGTTTTGGTGTAGGGACTGGCTCTCAAAATAGGTTAAATAATGAGACGGAAACAGGGAAACAGGAGCTGCTGGGTATAGAAAATTCTTTTAGGATTTTTGACTATGAAAGGAAGAAGATATGTGTAACTAAACATCTGTGGATATATTTAAGTAAGTGCTTACAACCCACAAAGTGGATCCTTTATTAGTCTGTATATATTTGTATGTCTAATTTAACATCAAACTTATCTGTCAATATTTCAGTTTTTAGCAATCACAAACTTTATTTGCTCTTTGTGATGGTTACTACAAAAGAAATATTTCTCACCCTTGATGTTCACATGACTTCAATAAACATTTCTGAGAAAATGTGGGTGGTCTCTTTCATACGTCAGTGACTGGGAATAGGACACAAGGGTACAGTCACCAACTCAAGGCAATGAATTATTCTGAGACCCCAATTTTGCTTCTATTTGCCTTTTAAGTAAAGTTTTTAAGGTAGGTGGTCACTTTTCCTTGGTTTCTCAAATGCTATATACTTTCATGTGTGTCTCCCTTTTCTCCTTTCTTTTCATTTCCCCTTTCCTCCAATATTAAATGGCTGCATGGACCAATAATAATGGGAAGACAAGATAGAGCAGAAACACTACAGAAGTCAGTTATAATTAAAACAATCACTTCTATTTAGCATTTTCTCTGTCCACGAGGAATTTCCTTAGCAGTATTTTCCAGTATTCTGCTGTGTTAGTCATTTAGTAACCCATCTCTAAAGCAGTTAATAATAGTCTTAGAATTCCTTGAAAAATGTACCTAGTAAATATATCTCAGGTAATACAAGATTGAAGACAATTATTGCCCTAACAAAAAGTATGTATTATATATACAGCGTGCAATCACAATAAAGGTTTAACTTACTTGCTCATGTATTTTTTTGAAGTTTTTCTACTTTCTCCATTAAAGACACCTCTTTTTTTGGGAAACAGATCAGGAATTTGATTTCTTGTCTTTCAATTCTTGACCTTAGTATTCTGAATTGTTTTGCATTCTTTTTAGCATTTCCAAATTATTCCTCTCTTTTATTGGCTTTAACTGCTTCAAACTAGAAGCATGTTAATGCACAATTTTTTAAAAAAAATAGCATTTCTTAAACCTTTCAGCTACAAGTTCTATATGAACTGATACCATGGAAACCAATTCTCTTGCAATTTCCAGGATTGTTGTTAACCTAAGAGTTAAGAGTCATGTGTAATTTAATGCTCTTCGCTCTTAAAAAGGTTAAATTATTTTTATAAATATGTTTTCCCTTTTGGAAACACTGATATGAGTAAGAATTAGTAATAGTAATAATAACACATAATCAGATTGTTCCAAAATTGTTACTTTTTTTTCCTTTGCAGGTCCTGATACTAAACTAATGCAGAACAGTGGTAAGACAAAGTTTAAAAGGACAAGCATTGATAGGTTGATGAACACTCTAGTACTATGGGTAAGTTACTGCAGCAAAGTTAGGCAGTACCACTAGTCATTGTTATCGTCACATGTTCCTGGTGTTTTCAGGGGATTCCTTCAGAAGCCTACACTCTCCTTCTGGTGTTTTCATTTGAACATTTCACATTTGGGGCTCAGTTATATTGCCTGTTTCTGAGATTATAATGAATTCTCAAAACCAATGGTAGAGTTTATCACAAGTAGGTTAGTGCTTACAAAGGCATCCACAGTGTTGCAAATTCTCCATATTCCAAGAATTTGGAAAGCAAAACAGTTTTTTAAAAATTTCTTTTATTTATATGTGCATACAATGTTTGGGTCATTTCTCCCCTTTGCCCCCCTCCCTTTCCCCCGCCCTCTTCCTCTCTCCCCCACCCCCTGGCTACCAGGCAGAGATTATTTTGCCCTTATCTCTAATTTTGTTGAAGAGAGAGTGTAAGTAATAATAGGAAGGAACAAGGGTTTTTGCTAGTTGAGATAAGGATAGCTATACAGGG